AGAAAGAAAGAAGGTTTTTCCAACTTTGCAACTTTGAGCTGAACAATAAACTGGGGGAGTTTTGGACATTGCAGAGCAAGCTGGAGACCCTTATATGGCTGCCTAAGTCTCTGAACTGCCCCAGAGATGGCCTTCACAGAAAGCTCCTCAGCCTCCAAGAGCTAAACAACACAAAAAAAAAGCCTGTTGAGCTCCATGTCTTCAGAGCTCCTTACCTGTGCAAGGAGTCCTGGCTGGATCTGAAGAGGCTGAGCTCCAGGAGCCTGAGTGACAATGGGCACGGCGTTCTCCATCCGAACTGAATACCCAGCATGCTTCGAAGGAGAGGCTTGCAACCCTGTTGCACCAGCACAGAAGGTACAGCATTAGCCATCAACAGCATTGCTAGGAATGGGGGGGTCTGGTTTTCAGAAGTGCCTGAAGGCCTGTGCTGACGTTCACTTAAATTGCAGTGTTCAGGTACTTTGTTTTTAAGGTACTTTGAAAGTGTGGCAAACATCTCAATACAATGTGTACAGAGAGAAAAGAAAGGGAGGGGAAGTAATGACTTCTCTTCCCCCATATTCTCTGGTTTGGCAACAGAAAATGGTCCTTGCCAGCCAAAACCCATTGCTAAGCGAGAATGCTCTCTTTAGACCGAAGTGCGAGAGAGGGACAGGAATTCAGAACTTCATACTCCCTCAGCCTTGATGGGGTAGAGGATTTTTTCTTGCACAGTTTCTCAGGACTCAAATTTAAAAGGCTCTGATCTGATCGTGTAATCTAGCACACTCCAAATTCCAATCACTGCTGACTCAGCCATGCATTAGCCTAACTGAGCTGGAGGAATTTTCCCTCTCCACCACTTCAGCGCATGGCACAGCCTGTGCTACCTCCTCTACTTTGGAGCTTCCAGACAGCAAGTGGAAGATGTTAGCTTACATATTCTAGCAATACATTTCTGAAGTCAAACCCTTGAGATGCATTTTAACTATGTAGAAGAGGTCTAGCTAAACTCCCCTCGTTCAAAAGAGCTTTGATAATCTGGCAGAACATTTAACAAGTGCCTAGAGACTGCTGCACAGACAGGCTTGTAGAAACGAACAGCATAAGCTGCACCAGCTGAACCAAGGTCTATTTAGACCACTATCTACAGATACCTGGCTGGTTTTTCCACATTTCTACAGCACGTAAATTCAAGAGAAAGACAAGCGGCTAAAGCTGACCATCACCTAAGTTATCTGACAATGGTGCCTGCCACTGGAATACACAGGCAGAGCTGTTTGCAGCAGGGCTGGAGTTGAAGGAACTGTACTGATAAACGGTCATGAGCATCTCTTACAGGGGCAAATCCTCATCTCCACCAGCACCTCACTCCTTGCTGCACTAACCTCCTGAGTTCCCCTTTAAACTACTGAATCATTGAGAAGCGATGAAACCATTATTTATGTACTGATTTATTTTTATTACTACACTGATTTATTTTTTTCTTACTATTTTTTTATCAGTGGGTAAAAGTTTTCAAGTTTACCAAAGCGAGGCAGAAAAGCATCAAACTCTGTTCTGGGCAAAGGACAACAAATATCACATAATCTTGCACAGCCCCTTCTCGCTGCCTGCCCGATTGTTTTAGACCAGCCACCTCCAACTCATGTTGTTGGAGGTGCCTGCCAGATCCTCTGCTGTTGCACACATTTCCATCTGCAACAACCTCATTGCTCTGGTTTACTAGGCCAGCAATTTTCTACCGCATGATCTGCACTAAGGAAGCCTGTTTCCAACAAGAGCTAAGATGAAAAAGCAGTGTGGCAGGGGGAGCAGCAACTGGCCAAGACCTTGTAAGGCTGTTACTTACCTTGGAAGCCTGGTGGGCAGACGATGAGAGCTTGCTGGAAGGGGTCGGGCCGGGCACAGATCTGCGCTGTTCCTGTCTGGAGGGGCATGCTCCGCTGGGCCACCGCAGCCATGGATGCCGCTGAGGGCTGGTAGAGTGCAGATTGGTAATTTAGTATGGAGACCTCGGGGTTGGCTAAGGAAATAGTGGCACTGGAGGAGGTGGGAGCCAGGTTGGAGGTCTAAAGGAATGATGGGAATTAAACAAAAAAAACAAACAAAAAAATGAGGGAGATGGGTACGTTGGAAGAAGCAAAATCCAAAAATAATTGAAAAAAAGAAGGTAAAATAGTGAAAGATAAAGTAAAGAAAAAATAAACAAAACCCAGCAAACTGAAACCAAACAAGGGGTAGAAAAGGACACAGGGGAGCAAAGAGGCAAGGGCAGTGACGGGGAAAGGAGCACAATCTGCCTGAGTAACCGCAGCTGCACCATGCCATGGCACCTCCAGCCACACGGCGCGGCTGTGTACTGCTCAGAGATATAGCATGTTCTACAAAGCAGAACCGCAGCCCTGTTTATTGCCCAACTGGCTCTGATTTGCAGCACGATGAAGATAGGTTCAGAAAATGCTATGATCCCCAAATCATGTTGTTCTCTCATTATGCACATAGCCCTAGAAGGAGTTCACGTTTCTCCTAAGCACCATGCCCTGTGAAGCCCCATCCTGAGATGGGAGTCTCATTCCAGCCTTTCCTCTGCCTTGTATCTAATATGACACATGCCCCTTGAATTCTGTTTTAAATCTGAAGGAATCAGAAGGCATAACAGGATATAATAATGATACTTTCGAAGTCCAAATTTTGCTTGGCTTGACTTTAAAATCTCTCAGAGCAGAAACTCCAGCAGGAGATGTTGCAAAGTCACAAAAATCACCCCAGTGTTCTGCAGAACATCTAGAAGTCTAAGTGTGACTTGTTTTTTTTTTGGACTGAGTCTGTAACAGTTGCAGACAAACATCCTCTAAACAGCTCTGCCACTGCTCTATAAAATTACGTCCTTAGTATCCATGCCTAGGCAACCAGGCTGTACCACACCAGAGCCCACCTTTGTCCTCCATACAAAGGCACCAACATCACTGCTGGAGACTGGTCAGACAACACTTTCTCACGGTTAATGTACGAACCCAGGATGAAGCTTTGACCAAGGCAGCAGGAGGCAGCAAGATAAGCATTTCGCACTGCCCTGGTTGCCACTGGGCCTGCAAAGGGTACCCACACTGTGCTGCCACAACCACAGCCACGAGGGATGTGGCAGTCAGACATTTCTTCCTCCTCTTTCCTTCTTTGTGCAGAGGCAGAGGAGTGCAAGCTGTTCCCCTGTGCAACACAACAAGCAGTTGCCACGACAGCTCCCATACTCTTAATCTCTGGAGCCATAACTGGAAGGAGGCAGTCCCCAGATATTTTGCATAGACAGGGAGCAGCAGAGAGCCGAGACGAGTGGTACATTGAAGAGTACGGTGAGAGGTTTAAAGCTTGTTCAAATCAAAACACCCTTCCTGGAAATGTTTCTATCGTTCTTCTAGGAACACTGGAGATACCAGTTCTGCTCACAACACACACCCCTTATGAGAATTCAGAGATTACCGCAGATCTCCCCAGCCAATGACTGAACTTAACATCAAGTGATTTGAGAGGAAACGAAAGTAAGGTTGCATTTCCTACCAGCAATTGTGGTACAAATGCTGTCTCTGCTCTGCAGATGGGGCTTAGGGGAGCATGAAGCATGCATTGCTTTAGTCAGCATCTCAGAAACAGTCAAGAAAGGGAACCAATGTTTGTAACTAATACTCTATCACACCAAGCCATGACCCGTCTCTTTGTGCATCTGCTTAATGAATTGTTCCAAAAGACCTTCTGTGATTGCCTGTATCAAGAATTGAGTCACAAAGTCTGGTTTTCTGAGTGACACAGGAACACCCTGTACATCTACACAGTCTCTTTTTGCTCCCTTGCTTTCCAAGCACCATTTCCGCAACGCCACCTGCAATCTCTAGAGTCAATCTTGAGCAGCCTGTTCCCAAAAGGCTTAAAAGACAGTAGCTATTTCTCGAGCTTCAGTCTCCTAGAGTGCTGTCCCTGGAGAGTTTCCTTTCACTGTTGTGATACAGTACCGCAGTAAACAACTTAGCCTGCTAGTCACATAGAATTTGTCAACCCAGCAGCCTCAAACAAGGAGGCAAATAAAACTAATACAAGCATCCAAAGCATGATCACAAAGCCAGATCCCATCAATGTTTCCAGAGTCGGGGTACGTGCACAGGGTCCCCACATTACCTGTGGCACCTGGAGTAAAATCAGTGAGAGATAAGAATAAACATTACCACTGAGCTCTTCTTTCCTGTTCATCAGTTACAGTGCTGCATCTGTTACAGAGGGGTTTAAATTCTTTTTAATGCAGTGCCAATTTGAACAAGTGCTCTAAGATCACAAATACTTCTGCCTGACCCAGGGAGTGCGGTCCTGTCTGCTGCATTAAGGGACTAATGAGCTTTTCCCCCATAGCAGCTTCCCAAGTAAGCAGGATTTATCACTCCCAACAACAATGTAAACAATGAAGGCACAAAATGTTGGAAGATTATCGCTGGCCTGAAGAAAAGAGAATAAAAAAGAGCAGAGGAAGGAGAGTAAAATGCACCATCTTCTTGCAGGCATGTTAACTGGGATGCTACTTTGCTTCTCATCTTCTACACTCCACTGATGTAAACATTTCAAGCACTGGCTGCTTCTGATCAATGCCCTTACCTGGTTGTGGACTGTGTTCAGCTGGTTGTTAAAAGTCATGGTCAAGTTGGTTGATGTACTTGGGGCTACATGGGTGATGAATGGTGTCTTGCTCTGGTTCACGGTGTCATACATATTCACCCGTCGCTTGCAAATCTCCATGTTCTGGAAGCAAGACTTGACACTGTGCAAGAAAGGGGGGACAAGGAAGAGACAGAAAATCAACCAACCGATCAACACTGGTAACAGTTCATCACAGTGGCCCTGCATTAGGTCTCCATGGCAGGCTAGGCACTTTCTAGGTTCTTAAAGCCCTTGGCTATTTTATGAGGTCTCTCTCAAACAGCAAAAAATTGAGAGATTAACCAGCAAGAGATTAATCCTGTACTGAAGAGGGCCAAACGGGTGTCAAGATATGAGCTCTGGGACTTCTGGGTGCCCCCATGAATCTGAGCACTGCAACCTAAGCCACAAAAAAGGAAGCAGATTGGTTGCTCTTTAGGTGGCAAGGCAAGAAATACAAAGTGGCTATGTTAAAAGACTGAAAGAGACTGAGAGCAAGCAAGACAGACAGATACTGTTTTTTTTTTTCTGGTGATTGAGCCTGAGACGAAAAGACAACTCATGCTTTCTGCCTCAGTGTAAGCCTACAGGTAGTTTTACAAGTCTTACAAGGAAGAATTTTACTGTCCTTGGTCACTGAGACCCCTGAAAAATCTTACTTCTTCCTTTTAAAAAGTAGTTCACTGCGAGCTGAGTTCAGCCAAGCAGTTAAAACATTGTCCCTGCCTGGCTAAACACATCCGCAGACGCTTATCTTAAAGCACACGAGCTGTCCTCTTGCAGTCAGTGGGACGATTCATATTGCCAAAGGTTGTGCCAAATCGGATTCATCAACATCCTGAGGGAATCAGGTTCTGAGATTATCACAGACTGAGAACTGGATCTCTGGGGGCAAAGATTACAGCTTCTTCCCCTACACAGACCTTCCTTTAAACATTATTGATACAGAAATGGAAATTTTGTATCCCCAGTAAAGAAGAAGAAATACTCTCTGTAATGCTAGGGCCCTTTAGGTGCCTGGTACATGAAACTGCTGGCATTTAATTTGAATAATTGGGATACCAAAGTATACAGAGTTTTAAGAGACAACAGCATAGTGATCTTGCACAAAACTGTATTTTTTAAAAAAATTGTTTTTCCAAGGTCTAAAAACCAATATAAGTTTTGTACAATTCTTCCATAATAATTGTTTTTACAAATGTGACCTTGGCATCTGAAATTCAACACCAAAAGGTCTAAGGGCATTTATTTTATTTCCATTATCCCAACCCAGAAAAATAGAAAATTCAAGCAGTGAAAATCAGCTGTAGCTGTAAAAAATCAGCTGTATGCATAATTTCTTTTATACTGATCTAATCTGTTAAAGGTAGGGAAGATAAACACATCCTCACATAATTTTTAATAAATAAAATGTCCCTTCAATACGAACAAGCTTGTATGTTCCCTAGGGTTGGTCAGGAAGAGGACCTATATCTTTTTATCCCTGTCTTGTCTCTTACTCACATGATCATCTTTCTTCTCTTAAAGGCAATATCTTGGTAACTGGATCTGTGCCATAAACACCTGCAGACAAGACAGGCTCAGGACACTGTACATAGCTGCACGCTATGAGCATTCATTTAAATAACTATGAAATACCCGTAAGTCGCAGAACATTCAGAAAAATCAAAATGCTTATCAAATAAATATATATAAGACTATTGGATTGCATTTTTCCAGTCAAGTAAGAATATAATTCTCCCTCTAAAAAGCAGAAAGCGCTGGAAAGAGTATATATTCTGTCTATGGTAAACTGTGTGCGCTACCAAACAGTTTATATAACGATGCATAATCTCTATTAATGTAATATTGTGTGCTTTGTCTTTAAAAAAGGGAGAGAGGGGGAAACAGAAGGCAGGGCCAGAGCAAAATGGAGGAAAGAGAGAGGGGCACCTAACAAATGAAGGGCCAAGCAGTTAAATACATGAAATGGGGAGCTAAACTTTGCTGTTTGCTTGGAAGTAAGCAGAACATCCCTTCTCAGGCTGCTCAAACTTGCAGCCTCTCCGAATCATCTCTGCTGCAGCAGAGATTCCTTCCAGAAGCCACATCTTCCACATATTCTCACTTTTCTCTACTGCCTGATTTACTTTCAAGAGAGATTACAACTCCCCGAATCTCTCGAGGCTTTGAAGTTTCTGTTCTCAAGACCACAGGCAATCACAGACAAAACTCCCCTCAGCTTGCCACGCTGGTTACAGCTTATTGCTCTCCTTACCAATCTCTGCTTCCAACGCGGAGGGGCTGCGTGGGCTTACGCACCCAGCTGGCACGGCGTTTAGTATTCAGACACCTGATGCTGAATTTGTTTGTTCGGGTAAAATTCTTGCTGCTCTTGTCCTCAGTGATACTTTCGACCTTTCCGCGGCTTTGCCTGAGCAGCCACATGTGAGCACTTCAAAAATGAAGAAGTGATTATGGTCTTGTGGTGTTGGCGGAAAAATTTCTGATGGAAACGCATTACACCACAAATCTCTCCTGTTTACACCACTGCACTTCTTGCACAGCAAGAAGGACTGTTGCAAATTAAAATACTTTAGTATACAACGCTAACGCTGTTAGAAAATACTGTCCTTCTTATATATATGCACTTTTTTATATGAAACTTTCTATTTAGTACAACGATCTCCCACCTTGTTTTCCTTAAGTTTATCTCTTACTATTTACCGATAGATAAAAATGCTCAAAGATGTCTGTGCAGGGTGAGTTTGGGTCTACACAGATCGTGCACCCATTACCTTCTGGTAAGCAGCTGTGATAAATATAACAAAAAGGCAGCTACCATGTCCTTCAGAGAAGGAAAACTACCTTAAATGAACTTGAAATATCACAGGTAAGAGCACACATGTGGGCAGGAGAGGTGACACAGTCACCTGTTGCTCTGCAGCACTCACAGAAACATACTTGAAGGCTTTTTAAGCAGTCCCCTTCATTTTCATACTTAAGCTACTCACAGCCTTTAAAAACCCATGGACATGGCATCTGATGAAGTAACTCTCTTCTGACCTGCTGAGGGGTCAGCCTGCAAAAACACCTTGAACTGTGAAGTGCTGCAGAGCAGGATGTTCAGAGGTTGGTGTCCTGAAGGCTTCGAGAAACTCCCACTACGTTTCCGCCTTCACTTGCACCTGAGAAGCCTGGCCCTACGTGAACTGCCCAGGGCACAAGAGCAACGTGCTGGGGGCAGGTTCCCTGTGTTTCAGGCTGCTGCAGGAGAAGGAGGAGTCAGGCTGGAAGGCAAGACCCTTCTGCACATCCCCATTAGGCAGTGGAGTCCATCTCCGTTCCACACACACGTCAGCTGAGGTCAGAGCCTGGCACGTATGGTTACACAGGCAGGCAACAAGGAAGGCAAAAACTGAACTCCTTGTGCTGTCGCCTCTGCCTGTGCAACAGCCTGCTGCAGAAGAAGCTGATCGTTTAAAAACGAACAGCCCCAAACTGACCCCTGCAAGGTGGGAAGGTTCTGGGAGGAAGGGTTGGCTCCCCACTGCAGATAAGGTTGATTACTGCAGTAACAATCAGGACTATATTACTTTGAGATATACTGATACTTTGAGTACTAATTGCATAATTTCTCCTGCATTTTAACGCAAACATATATAATTATTGAGAATTTACATAATGAATGTAGCACACTCTGCAGCGTTTTAAATGCCAAGCAGCTACCATACAATTCTTGTAACCTCAAGAATTGGCAATGCTCTTTTTTCTAGCCAGAAAAAGATTAAAACTTAAGTCTTAATGATCCACTGAAACCAGCTCTCCTCCTCACGTCTCGATTCAAAACCCAAGGGAAACGAAAGCTACGTACTGTGTGCTGTGAGGGAAATCAAGCAAGTGTGTCATGGTGACAAAAGGGTGGTTCAGAGTTTCAATGGGTGTTATTCTCTTATCTGCATCTATCGTCAACATCTTCTTTAACAGATCTATAAACTCCCGCCGGTCCGCCTTTTCCACCAACATATCGCTTCCTTCCAAATCTGTTGTCATGTTCACCTAAAGGAGAAAGGACAAGCGTGAGCGCTGAAGGGAAAG